TTGGGGCTGTGTGGGGATGGCCTGTTCCAGCATCCCTCTGGTCCTGATTGGAATGTTTGTGGAGTCAGGCTGGTGGATGCTCCTGCTGTGGATCTCCTGCACCGTGACAGTCCCTGCAAGGATAAGATCTTTTTCTTAGTGTTTAGATTTTTTCCCATTGCATATAGGAATCAAAGCTCCATGTGGCAGTGGAGAGCCTGCCTGGCTGGGTGTGGTCCGTGCTGGAGGTCCTGCAGGTGGGATGGCAGCTCAGGAACCCTCCTGGTCCAGCAGCTCCACTCTGTGGCACCAGCTGTGATCCCCAGAGCAAAGAGTTAAACAATCTGGCTTGAAATTGCAAATCACTCTCCTGATCGCTCATTGATGAGGGGTTTTCAGTCAGTCAATGCTGTGTAGGAAAAGGTAACAACTGAAATATGCTTTGGAAAAGCTCGTAATTGAAAGTGCATTCTTAAATTGCTAATATAATGTTTATGAGGGGAACTTTGTAATAAGGCCTTTTAAATTTCACTAATGCCAACCACAGGGCCAGCAGCATTCCTGGGGCAGGCACAGGAAGGCATTTAGAGGCATTATTTCCAGTCTTGACATAAGAGTGAGCCATTTAATTACAGACAGCTATAAAATGGAGAATTCTTTGCAGTGACAAATGACTGTTGCTGCACAGCGATAGCAGAAGTTGGTGTCTGGTTTGTTTACCAGGTAGTGCCAGGGAGAGGCACACAAGGACCAAATAGTGGCTCTGAAAGAGCTGGGCAAGTGAGCACAAAAGAGGGTAGTGGTACTGCTGGAATTGTGTCAGGCCTTCACTGTTGCTGCAGCCATCTGGTCTCTCTTCAACAATCCAGGTGGGTGAAGGCTGCCTGGGACCTGACAGGTACAGGAACAGAATCAGATACTCTTGGGGAGCAAAGGCAAACCCACTTGAGGATTTTAATTTGGTTGCTGGTGTTTAAATAAAAGATGAAGGGACTCACCACCACTGCCATTGTGTCCTTGTCTCCACTTCCATCTGCACATGGAGCAGCCCCTGCTCTGCCCAGCGTGGTGGTACCTGGCAGGGGAGGGTCAGGCCCTTGCTCTGCTGCAAAGGACTTGCTCTCAGCTTCAACTCAGAAGAACTGGAAATGTTCAGAGTAAAACACCAACTCTCTTCACCAGAGCCAGCAGCTCAGTTGCAGAACTTCCCAAGCATCGAAAGCCATGGATGGATTCACAGGAATATGAGGAAATCCATGATTTCTTCCTGGGGCAGCTCAGCTTCCCCCTCAACAGGGTCAGGGTTTACTGACTCTTTCAGGTGATGCTCGTGTGGAATGTTTAGAGGTGCGTAGAAGTGAAAAGTAAGAGTTCTGAAGTTGTAGCTTCTCTGCAGAGTAAGAGTTGCCTGGACAACCGGGGTTCCCAATTGCTTAACAGGAAAAAGAGAAATGTCACAATGATTGTGGCACAGCCGTGAGGAGGAGGGTCTGTGCTGGAGCCTGGTGCTTGCAGAGAGCAGTCTGGGGTGGGCTGGGCTCCTCTGCTCCACAGAACTGGCACTGCCGTGGTGCACGTGAGCTGTGCTCGGTCAGGTGTCACCCCCTGCCCTGTGCCAGCAGCACAGAGCTGCCAGGGGCACGCCTGGCCTTCCTCGGGCTCCCGGGGCCAGCCCGGCCTCGCCACTCCAGAGAAGTGGGAAAACACAAATGCAGGTAACTTAGGTGACCTTTCCACCATGAAGAAACAGGGTCAGTATTTCATGAGCCAGGTTAAGCGTGTGTCCTTCAGGATCTTAGCAGGCAGCTTAAGTGTCATCCCAGGTGCCAGCACCAGACCTGACCCCTCACCATGGCCCTTCCTGGTGGCTGTGGAGGCAGGTTGGACAGCAGCTCCTGGCCTGCAGCTGCTCCAGGTCTCTCTGCCTTAATGAAGTTTCACACCTTGTAGGACAGGTGGTCGGGCATTTGTAAGAATTCCTTTTATCAAAATGTAACTCTCAATGATTGTGTTGTTTGTAGTTTCTGGGACCCCTCTGCCCATTTCAGCACTAATGTTATGTGCCCTTTCTGTTGGAAAATCCCAAAGGCTTGTGTCTCAGAAAACGATGTGTGATTACTTCTTATTTCAAAGCTACTGTGTTTGTGTTGCATAGGATCCATGGTGATGGTGCTGACAGAAATTCTTGTTTTAGAAAAAACATCCTGGGGGTCAGTGGGTGTCTCTAAAGGTGTTTGTTGTGGTCGGTGACCACAGTCCCAATGAGCAAAGTTTGGCTGTCGCTGTGGACTTTACAGACTGATGGGAAATCCTGGCACCTGATGTGGGCAGGATGATTTGCAGAAGATAATCTGTCATGAGGGAAATGCCAGAGAGCGTCTGTTCCCGGGGCTGCCGGTCAGAGGGACACGGGAGACGCTCAGCCACCCTCTTCCATACTGGCTGCAGTGGGAAGAAATACAAAGGCAGGAGGGTCTCTGCTCCATGTCCCTCAGTGAGTGCCCATTTCTGCAGAGAGGCCAGGGCCATTCCTACTCCCAGACTCAGCTCCCAGTGCAGGCACACACCCAGTCCCTGTGGAGCTGGGAAGGGGCTGCATCCACGTGTACCTGCAGAGAGCAGGGCAGTGCTCGGAGGGAGCTGCAGGAGGGGCAGGAAGGCTCTGGTTAATCACACCCAGTTCATTATTAGGCCAGAGCAGCTCAGCCTGGAGATCCGTCTTTACCAAGTGAGCCCCAGTGAATTGCATCCCAGAATAGTTTTTGAAAGATTACTGGTGCCAGCAGGGATTCCAGCCCATCTGCTCCTCCAGCCTCCCTGGCAGCTCCCCTTGGAGAGCTCCCAGCCGGGAGTGAGCCCTGGGAGGAGGGAGGGGCAGCTGGGAGCCAGTGCCTGCTCAGGGCTGGGGCTGCCCCTGCTGAGGGAGGCAGAGCCCGTGGGGCCAGGCTTGGACCAGAGCCACATCCCAATGCCTGTGGAGTGCCTGGAGAGCAACAGAGTGAGCTCCCTGGCTCTGTTTGCTGGGAGACTCCTCCTGGTGCTTCCTAAGGGTTTGCCTGCCTTCCCAGTAATTAAAAGTTTATAACTAATTACCAGCTGCCCTGCTCATATCTCGTAGTTATGCTTTCCCCATGCTGGGAGTCTCCTCTCGCAGCAGGGAGTGAAGCCAAATCTGATCTGCTTGAATATGCGTGTGCTGTGCCCGCTGCAGGCTGCGGGGGTTCTGTGCTCACTCCTCCTGGAGAGCTGTTCCTGTTCTGTCCTCCTGTGCCCTGCAGCTGTGGGGAGATGCTGCAGAGTGGGGTTGGGCTCATGTCTGCACCGCAGGTTTAGCCTCAGCCTTTCTCCTACCTGCCTCTTTCCCGATGACACAGTGAGGGGGAAGACATTCAGACAAGTTATCTTCTTGCATATTTAAACCTGAGCAGGAGTGTGCACTTTCCTCATTGCTCCATGTCCCACCCACACCCCTTTCCCAGGGGATCAGAGCACATGAGTGTTTTCTGGGTCAGGCAAAACGCTTTGGCTGCACTTGGTTGGAAAAGAGACTTTAAAACTAGTCTGTGGATTTGGGCCTCAGCCATGTGGGAATCTCTGGGCTACAGGTCAGGGCTGGTGCAGACCCAGGACACTGGGAGTCCCCGTCCCCCCTTCCCTGCCATCCCTATGACCCCTCCCTGTGGTGGGCTGCAGGTCTGCTGGGCTTGCCCAGGACAGGACTGTGTGAGTTGGCTTCTGCTGCTTGCTTTGGTTTGGAAGGCAGCATGAGGGAGAGAACTGCCCCCTTTGCCTGAAAACCCTCTGTTTTGAGGGGCTTTTAGCTGAGCTGAAGGCAGCCAGGCGGGAGGCAGAGGAACTGTCTCTATTGACACACCTGCAGTGGTTGTGCCCTGCTAACACACTTTGCTTGGCTGTTTTAAAAATACTTCCTTTATTGTTATTACCAGGACAAAGGTAGTGACAGGAGCTGCCCTAGTCTGTGTGTCAGCTTAGGCTGCATTAAAGGTCTGGCTGAACAGGCTTTAAAGTCCTTCCCAGCAACCTTCTGATCTACAACGTCAGCAGAACCACTGAAAGGCATGAGGTCACGTTCTGATTGCACTTGTCCTGGAGAACCTTAGATAGAAATAAAGAGCACGTGTTCAGAAGACTGTGAGCCTGGTCCTCTGCCAACTGTGGGGTTTGCTTTTGAGCTCAGTGCTTGCCAGCAGTGAGGGAACAGGAGCATCTGTGCAGGCTCTGCGTGGCTGGTATTTTCAGGAGCGTGTGTGGGATTTGAATTCCCAGTGGTGAAACTTAACTTCTGAAAATGGACAGTCTCTATGTGGTTTTACAGATTTCACTTATTTTGTCTGTTTTATGCATACAGTCAGTGCTGCCCTGGGCTGGGGGCTGGTTCTCTGTGCTGTGACTGTGCAGTGCCACACCGCTGGCTGAACTCACCAACGTACTTTGGTGAAGACAAACTGTTGCTTTCTGCTGCCTTCTCCATGGCTGATCCCCCTCCAGTCTGTGTGGTTTATATTTCCCAGAAGTACTGTGGGGCATCTCTCTGTACTGTGCTGACTGACGAGCAGCTCCCCTGCCGACAGACACTTCCAGTGCATTAGCAGGAAAGGAGAACATACACAGTTCCTTTGTGTCTGACCTCAGGATTTCTCTGTGATGCAAGGGGTTGTTGGCTCTTCACCATCTCTCCTAGGTCAGGAGCTCTTGGTGTGATGTGTGTTGCTCAGAAGCTCATCATTTGCTTTTCCTTTCCTTCTAAGTGTTTCAGTTTTTGAGGCTCATCAGTTTTCCCTCAGCAGGCGGAAAGCATTTGGCCAGAGCAACCCCTCAGGTGCCAGCTCTTGTCCTCTTTCTGCCTGAATTTGGCAGGTGTAAATGTAGCTGGACACGTTTTACACCAGCATAACTGGCAGTGTAAGAAGATTAGCTGTGGACGTGGGAGTGACCGGGTTAGCGTAGACTACTCTTGTCTTTGTTCATGTTATATTTCTTTTTCTTCCTGCTGTTTTTAGACTTTAAAGAGGAAGGAAAAAGAATATGAACATGAGATGGAGCGGCTGGCGAGAGAGAAGATCGCTACCCAGCAGCGACTGGCAGAGCTGAAGAACGAGTTGAGCCAGTGGATGGACATCTTGGAGATTGACAGAATTGTTCGACAGACAGTTCAGCCAGAGGATGACCAGGCATCTACCTCGACAGCATCAGGTACCCATAGTTTTTCTCTCCTTGTAATCACCACGGAAGGTCACTGACACAGTTACGTAGGGATGGTGGGGATCTTCCTTTGGCAGCGTCAGGGTTTCTTTGCATTCAGAATAAAGTAAAAGGCTTTCGAGTGTTGCTAATGATTGATATTGGTTAATAACACATTGCTGCTCGTGTGAAGTAAAACTGAAATTTGTGCATCAATGTCAGGTAGATACAAAGTGCAGGTTTGCACTTCCGACCTGCCACTTCCTCACGTGGAGAAGATTTCCTTTTACACAGCTTTGCAGCCCTGCTCATTAGAAGTGGACATCCTGATGTATTTGTGTGGATATGGGAGGGTGTTCAGCACATAGAGAAGAAGGATTTGGTACCAGAGCACTTAAACAACTTAAGGAGCCTTCATGTTGCATGAGAAGGATTCATAGTGAAGATGAAATGACGCTAATGGATATCTGCCGTGCAGTTCCCAGTGAGAAGTTCTGTGAGATAGGAGAGTGCATGCTTTCCTCCACACCAGGGATCTGCAGCAGGAGGAGTAGGCAGTCTGTGGATGTAGAGCTTTGCAGAGATGTGGAGGCTGTAGCGCTGCGGAACCGTTCACAGCAGCTCCTTCAAACCAGCATTTGCTCTTGGCCCTGCAGGCACATGATACCATGGGTTCCAGGAAGGGAAAATCTGAGGTTTCTGGTTTGTTCAGGCTTGTTTTCAGGATTATCACCTCTGAACACACAGACAGGCTCCATGTGTAGGCTGGTGGAAGTCAGGAGTAGCAGGGCTTTGTCGTTAGGAGCATTGGCCGTTCCCTGTGCAGTGGCCTGTGCTGAAAGCCACCGTGTCAAGTTGCTGCAAACCAGAGCTTGTGAAGGGGAATTATCTTCCCTGGTTCCTGCTGCTTCTGTATCTTCTGGGATTTTTATTCTCTGCAGCATGGCTGGCTCTAGAGCAGGCAGTGCAGGGTGTTTGTGCTGGCTCTGCAGGGCCAGCATGTTCCTGCTTTGCTTCATTAGTTCCTTCACTGGACAAAAGTCCATTTCCCAGAACTACATGAGGGACTTGCTACCATACTTCTCTATTGCTGTTTCCTTCTTGCTCTGGGAGCAGAAAGGGTGGTGCCAATCAGTGGAACAACTGGTCAAGAAAGGAAATCCTGTTCCTCTTCCCAGAAGGAGCCACTTCAGCCCAGACAGAGGTCAGCCAGGTGTTTTCTGTCAGCCTCTACTCACGGTGGTCCCCGTGCCTGCCCAGTGAGACCTCTTGGCCTGTTGGGAGCACTGCACTCTAGCTGGAGCTTGGGGCTGTCGTGCCTGCTTGGCTCCAGGTCCTTGGCCCACAGCAGTGAGAAGAGGCCATGCCATGCTGTGCCATTGTGCTGCCCTTTAGGGAGGCTTGTTGGTCCAGTTCATGCTCTGCTTGCTTTTTTATGGGAGTTTCCTCTCGTGTTTTCCAGAGGGTGAAGACAACATCGATGAAGACATGGAAGATGACAGGCCAGTGAACTCATTACCAAAACTTACCCAGCGCCAGCACCCAGAGCTGCTGAAAGCTGTCCCCCCGAATGCTGCTCCCCCCCTGCCCGCAGTCCTGCCCCCTCACCTCTCCATCCAGCAGAAGCCCCACGCCCAGCCCCCCCTGCAGACACAGGCACTGGTCCCGCCGCAGGCGATCGTCCCTGCACAGACTCACATCGTGGCGGCCTCGACCGTGCAATCGACTGTTATCGCCCACACGGCCACCACCCACGCCTCGGTCATCCAGACTGTCAACCACGTGATTCAGGGGCCACAGACCAAGCACATTGCTCACATTGCACCTTCCACGTCCAGCCCCGTGCAACTCACCACTGCTGCTCAGCCCATCGGCCACATCACTGTGCACCCCGCCACCATCAACCACATGGCCCACCTGGGCCCGCAGCTGCCCCTCTACCCGCAGCCCGTGGCCGTCAGCCAGCCCGTCGTGAGCCACATCGCTCACACCATCTCGCACCAGCAAGTGAACGGCACGGCGAGCCTGGCCCAGCCGGCGGTGATGGCCAAGCCGGCCGTGGGCACCCAGGTCGTGCATCACCCGCAGCTGGTGGGGCAGACGGTCCTGAACCCCGTGACTATGGTGACCATGCCCTCGTTCCCGGTGAGCACGCTGAAGCTGGCCTAGAGGGGACGGGCCGACGGCCAGGTCTTTGGTGGGAACCTTTCCTGAGGAAACTCCATACATTCCAACCACGTCCGGCTCGGCAGGAGGGAGGCACAGGAATGCCGGGCCGGGCTGGGCCGGGCTGGGCTGGGCTGGGCTCAGCTGCCCAGGGCCCGGCCTGTGCCCAGTGCCCAGTGCCCAGCCTGGGGACAGTGCCCAGCCTGGGGACAGTGCCCAGCCTGGGGACAGTGCCCAGCCTGGGGACAGTGCCCAGCCTGGGGACAGTGCCCAGCCTGGGGACAGTGCCCAGCCTGCCAACGGGACGGGGACGGGGCTGCTCCGCACTCGGATTGGCTGATCTGAGAAACTGCAGAGACAGTTGTTCATGGTGATTTTTTTTCCTTTTATGTGTAATGAGTGAACTATGGATATGATGTTCTTAAGACTTTAATTTTGCCCTCTTATGTGTTGCTTCTTTGTAGAATAAAAATTGCTGATCTCTTTATCGAGACATTGCGTAGAATGGGAAAAAAAATCATAGAAGTCTATATTTATATATATGTGTGTATGTGTGTGTATATATATGTACATACATATATATATAAATATAACATTTGAAGGCCTTTTGTAAGGTTGATTATTTTGCAGGATTATGAGACAAAATTCATTTTTGGAGGAAGAAGATAGAGTGTCCTCTCTAAACAAGAAACTTTAAGATAGATGGTTTGGTGGACCAGGGTACCTCTATAGTGACAAAAAAACCCCAACAACAAACCACAAGTCAAACCATTTTAAAGGTATTTCCCATCAATATATTACATTTCAAAAACCATCTAAAATCACTGTGACTTGTTATGGCATTTTAAGGAAATTCTCTGTCCTGTCTAATAAAAGGAAAAAGAATACACAACCGAATTTCATTTGTTGCCGTTTTATAAATGACTTGATTTTTATAGCTATGTCAAAAAAACCCTGTTTTTTATTATTTTAGTGGTTGACAGTGCTTTGTTTGGATGTTTTGGGGGGTTTTGGGTTTTGTCTGGCTTGGTTTGCTGATGCAGTAATTGATTTTGCAGATCTCTGTGCACGGCACAGCCCTGGTCGGGGTCTCTCCTGCCAGTCCAAGCCCCCCAGGTTTCTCGGGTTCGTTGTTGGGCAGAGGCAGATACTTTGTGCTGGCAGCTTGCTGGGTGTTCCTGTGGCCTGGTGGGTGGAACCTGGGACAGGAAGACCAAGAGAAATGTCGTGGATTTGCTGTGTGGGTTAATGTTGTTTGTTAGTTTGTTCTGACCTGACCACACTTTGCTGTTGTGGTCAGTGGGTTCAGAAAGGGATAAATGGGGATGTGGTTCCCTTCCAGAGCGCAGGCAGCTTTGGCAGCTTTGTTCCTTTTTGGGGGGTAAACAATCTCTCCTTGTGCAGGATAAGGGTTTGCTGCAGGAGATCAGTGTGAGAGCTCGTGCCTGACAGTGAGATGTGCACCAAAGAACCCTCGTCCTTTGGGACCCTCCTGTTGCCCCTTCCTGGTGATGGGGCAAGACCTCTCTGAGGTCAGTGGCAAATCCTGTGGAGCCAGGAGAGGAGGAATGCTCTGCTGGTACCTGCCAACCTGCTTGGGAGGCTGCTTAGGATGTGTTTTGTTGCTGGCTGAATGTTCTGGTCCTTGCACCGTGTGTGTAGTCACTGCTGTGAATGATCTCCATTCTGTCTTCCTCTCTTTTTAAAGTAAGTGTTCCACAGTCCTTTCTGCAGGCAAAATTCCTGCTGTAGCCAGTGACTGTTCTCCTTGGGACAGGATGGGAGGGTGGTCCCAGCATCTGCCCAGGAGCTTTGGGAGGGGAGGAGGTAAGGAGGGCTGAGCCCTCACACCTCACTGTGCTGCCTGCAGTGTGTGGGTGAGGTCCTCTCTAGGAAAGCAGGACCCATAGTCTGCCCAAAGACATGTTGACTCCAGCAGCACTTTTGCCTTGTTGAGGACTGGTGTGAAAGGGGTTAAAGTGAGAACACTTGCCTGTTCCATACCGTCCCTGGTTGAAACTGGTCTGGAGGCAGGAGAAATGACTGCAGAGGTCAGGGGTCATTGTGCCTTCTGAGCAGGTCTGGCTGGGAATTGCGTGACCTCTGTTTGTGAAGCCCCAGTTGCTCCACAGTTACCTCTTGTTTTATTTTTTTCTTGCATCCTTGAGTCCAGGAAGCTCTTAGCTGTGCTGCCAGCACAGCTCCTGCAGAATGGACGAATCTTAAAGGATTTCTTATCCTGAAACCACATCTAAGCAGATGATTTGTTCTCATTCCAGTGCACTGTTAACACTGGGAGGTTCCCGCAGTCGCCAGGGTTTGGTCATCCCTTGTCTGTGCAGGTGCTTTCCCACAGAGGCTGTTGTGTGCCAATATTTGGAAGGTGAGTGTTGGGTATCGGGGCAGTTGCTCCTCATCAGAAACTCAAGACAGTGTTTGCAGCAGAGTCATCTCCCTTCTCAGGGGACTGTGTGGCTTTGCCTTCTGCAGTGGTGTTGGGAGTGAGGACATGCCTTTCTGCCTTTCTTTACTGACATCACAAAATAACAAAATCTCGTTACTGAATGGGAAGGAGCGGGATTGGGAACAGGGCTGAGTGCAGGAGTTGGCTGAGAGCCCCAGGGAGATGAGCTTTCTGCTGAGTGATGGAATGGCCTGTGCTGCAGGGACAGGGGGTGCTGCTGAACCTCATCTCCTGCTCCCTTGTGGTTTAGAGGGAGGAGTGGCCCTGCCCAGCCCAACCCAGCCCAGTCCTGCATCTGGGCCAGTTTTTCTCTCCATTTGGAGTTGTGCCATGCTGTGTGTCTGATCCCCTTCATGGGTGTTGAGCTCCCCTTCAGGAGCAGCCTGTCCCCCTTGGTCAGCTGCTTTGGATGTCTTGGGTCCTCCCATTCTCATCTGCCTTTTTCAGGGCTACCAGAAACATTTCTTTGGGGTTTTTGTCTTTTTTTTTTTTTAAAGTCAGCAAACTTCTTTCTCTTCTCTGTGAAAAAGAGCAGCCACAACCCTTCCTTTCCCCACCTCTCTCATTCCTGCTCAGAAAATTCAGATTTACACTGATGCTCTTAGAAGTCCTGTTCAGTACTGTATGACAAGGGGCACTTAAAGAATGTCTCTCCTCCTTTGATATATGTTTTCCCTATGGAGAAAGCTATATATAAATATATATGTACACTTGGGGATTCAGAAGATCTAATTTGTCCCCCCAAAAAATCAATAAATACAAAGTTTAGAAGAAATCTTTTCTGTTGTTGAATAATGTTAGTTTTTTGTAACCATACTATAGAAACAATAGAAAATGGGTTTTCTACATAGTAGTTTGAGAGGATTTTCTGTTCTGTCATGCCTGGCTTGGAGCCTGTTGGTCAGTGGAGACCAGGGCAGGTGCCCTTGCAGCCCACGCACTCCCCACGCTTTGTGTCCCACTGCCAACAGCCAAAATGTGGTCAGGAGCTGGGGCTGTGCTTGGAGCTCAGCTGGCACAGCCAGGTGTGTTGGAGGGTGAGCAGACCTGTGCAAGCAGAACCCCTCAGGTGACTGAGGTGACAGAGGGAACTCTCTGTGCTGCCCCAGCTGGGAGCAGCTGCGGGAGCCCCACGGCTGCCAAAGCCACTTTCCATCTCACCTCCCAAGGAACTGTGGGCAGAGGGGAATGAACCCAAACTACTACTTGAAAATGTTCTTGAAAAGAGCTCTTAATGCTGACACTTTAGATACAGGAATGTATTCCTGACGTCACCAAGAACAATTAGCCAGAACTGTGTAGTTTAGCTTAGGAAGGGAAATGACCCCATTTCCCACGTTCTTTCAGTCACTTGAGTGGGGTCTGAGAAGCAGCAGGTTGTGTGTCCCTGGGGGCACAGGGGGAAGGGGGCAGCTGGTGGCACATTGGGCAATCAGGGCTGGAGCCAAACTGCTGCTGTCGGGCCTTTTTCTGCACATGTATGTGTGTGTGAGTGTCCGTGTGTCTGTCCGTGCTGGGGCTGAGTGCTGGGTGTTGAAGGCCAGAAGGGCTCTGGTGTCACCACTGGGCTCCTGGCCAGTGGCATGGTCGGGTTTTGGTTTCTTGGGCAGAGCTGGACAGAGGGGATGGCCCTTGCAGAGGCTTCTGCTCTCTGGCAGTGGCATGTGGTGTGTCCGGGGAGGAGCATTTCTCATCTCACAAATGGGGCCAGCCTGGGCTGCTGCTGCTGTTGGGCTCCTTGTCTCCTTTTCTTTGTTTAACTTCAAAGTGGCCTTCTGTAACAAAAGAACAAAAGAAACAAAAAAATGCCTTTGGTTGGTTTAGGTGAGGTGAGGTGTCGGTGTCGGTGTGGTTGTCCGTGCGCACGCCTGGTAGATTCCTGTAGACATGCAATGCAAGGCTTATCGTGTCTGGTTTTTGTGTGTGGCCTGTGTCTCCTTGGACTGGTTTGCATCCTGAGGAAGTTTTTTGCATTTAAACAAAAAGAGTGGGAACTGTTGGGGGTTGGGTGGGTATGAGGGGCCCCCATGTGCCAGGGGCAGGGGAGGTGTCCTTGCCTGGTGCTTGTTTGGCCCCTTTGCTTCCTGTGACGCGTGGAGTGTCCCCAGCGGGGTGAGTGGCCTCGGCCAGATGAGCCAGGTGACCTCTGCTCACCTGAGCAGGACGTTGTCTCGGCCTGGCATTTAGGCACTTCCTTAATTAGCTTAATTAGATAAGTGGCTGCCCTGAGCTGGGACTTGGCTGCTGTACAGCTCTTGGAACTGGTGTGGAGGTGAGCTCTGAGTACTTGCAGGTGAGGCTCCTCCAAGACTTGGCATCTGTTTCTTTCTGAACAGTTATTATTTTGATTCTAAAAACTGTTGGGATGAGGAGAGGAAAAAGTTCATACTTATGGCCTGGTTTCCATTCCTTGTTACCATTTTGGACAGATTAAAATGGTTTATATCACTGTCTTTAGGTTATTTCCTTCCTGAGTCAAACATCAGTTATTAGGAGCGGAAGGAAAATGCTCTGTGGATAGAGTCAGTCATGGCTTCTTTCTGTCCCAGTTATACAGAATTTCATAATCCAAATTTGAACTATTAAAATACCAGCCCGAGCCCAGCACTGGGTGGGCACAGTCTTGGCAAAGGTTG